GAGCCTGTCAGCGACTGGCCGTGAGGCGCATTTTCGCCCCCAGGCCTCGGTTGGGTCTCCCAGCCCCGAGCCTCCCCCACGCCCGCCTCCGTGACCCGGCCCCCGCCGCTGCGGCTTCGCCGCTTTGTACGCCGCCTCCTCTCACAGCCGGCTGCGCCCATCTCTCTTCTCTCTCCCCCCGTCGCCCTCACAGAACCGAGACATCTACTCCACAACCGTCACGCGCAAGTCGGGGACGCGGACTCGGAGAGATACGGGGCTCGAGGGTTAGGGAAGCTTTCTGAGCCCCGAGACTGGTTTCAAAGCGTGCGTCTGCTAAGGAGCAGCACCTCCCTGGGCCTCAGGTCTCTCCTTTGTGAAGACGGTGCCATCTGTTTCGCGGTGGTTAGTGACGACTCCGTGAGACGACGCTGCAGGAACCCCGCGCAGAGCCCGCGGCGCGGGTTGGGCACCGAAGCTCTTTTCCAGGAACTCGCGGGGGGCAGTCGCGAAGCGCACCCGCTTGCAGCCAGGCTGCCTGGGTTGCAAAACCAGACTCTGCTTGTCCCAGACCAACTCCACCACCGGGCAAGTTACGTACACGCTCTGTACCTCAGTTTCCTTTTCTCTAAAATGGGGATTAAAGTACCATCCTCCTCCTTGCGGCACAACAAGTTAATAGAAAAGCGATGGGCGCCTAGTAAGGGCTCAGTCAGTGTCACCCATTTTCACCCTAGTGGCTGAGCTAGGGCTGTGAGTCAGGTCTCTGGTTTCCAAGATCAGCAACCTGGGCTCATATATTTTACATACTTAGAGCGGTGCCTCCAGGTCAGGCTCCTATTTAAAGCTCAGGAGGAACCACTTATCCATTTTCCATAAAACCAGATCTCAAACTATCTCCGTCGTCGTCATGAACATCCTAGAACGTTGGTGGCGCTGCCTCCCCTGAAGGTTTGATAGTGGAGGCAAGTGTTAGGAAAAGAATCACCTTCCGTCCTCAAGGACAGACCAGAGGGAGAGAGGACATTCAAGAGGTTATGGGATAGGAGCACCGAATTTCGATTTGAAAGACATGAGAAATATTTTAGTACTGGTTATGGATCCTTCGTAACCAAGGTTAGTGTGAGGTCAGGAGACAACACCGCATCCCAACACTGTGGGAAACAATGAGTTGTGAATAGTTCAAGGGTAGGAACTAGCTTCTACATTTTTATCACCTGTTATCTCCCACAGGGCCAAACACACAGTGCCCGGTCCAGGCACTAAAATTTGGGTGAGACCCTTTAATAGGTGGTTATCTGGTAATAATCTAGATTATTTATAGTAATCCAGTGGAGATGAAGAACGGAAAAGAAGAAGATTGGTTTAGTCCAACAGTCCAGTGAAAGGAAACGGGTAATGAGCACTAGTTTGGCGACTGAGGTACCAGCGTTATTCTCAGTAATATTCTGGGGTGAAGGAAAAAGAGGAAACAAGGAAGACACAGCAAACTAATTAAATAGCAAGATGCATGATTAAGAGGACCCTGAAAGGACACACCTGGAAAGCTGCTGAATACTCTATTGAGATCTTCCCCTGGGACCTGCTCTAAAATCTCCACCCTTAAAGCCCTTAGGACAGAGGACCCAATGCACTCTCCCTCCTGGGAGCACACTTCTCCTTTCCCTTTCCACTCCCCACCGCATCCCCCCTTCCTTTGCCTCTATAACTTGTTCCCTAAGTCCATTTCGTCTACAAATTACTTCTTCTACCGCTGTGATTTTCCAAATAAATGTTCTCTAATTTTAAAGAGAAAGAGAGAGAAATCGCTGAGGAAAATATTTTAGAGTGTCAAGTGCATATAAAGCAGCCAACAGCATCTCTTATACAAATAAAAATTGTTTCCTAGTAGAGGAAAATAAGAATGCTGATAGTGAGCCATGGAAACATCCTGTGATCTGAGGGATTTATGAGGAAATGTTACTTCACTTAATAGGTAAAACCTAAAACTTGGGGGGTTAGCACTGATGGAAAATCTCCTGATGGGAAAGAGGACCGGAGAGCATACCTACTGTGTTGTACAAGGGAACAAACAAGGCCTTGGGATCAGAACTGGGTCCCAACTCTGCCTGCGTTAAAAACCCAGCTCCACCTTTAATGGCTGAGTGTCCTCTGACAGTTACTTAACAACCTCTCTCCATAGCATAACTTCCCTATCTCTAACATGGAGGCAATAATAGTGCTCACCTCACAGGGTTGTGAGAATTAAATGAATTTTTATTTGTAAAGCAGAGCAGTGCCTGACACACAGTAAGTGCTATATTAATGTTTGATAAAATATTGGTCTCAGTTTCTCCATCTGAGGCCATAATACTGCACTTACTGTAAAGATTCAAGTGATGCATGTAAAGTGTTCAGAGATACTCAATAGATATTATTTCTCTTCCCCTTCATCCCCTCCCCCCAGTCTCCTGCCACCCTGCCAGCCTGTTACCTTTGAACCCCTCTCTGATTACCAATGTCACTGCCATCAAGGGGCTGTTGCTCAACTTGGTCTGAGCAAGGATAAAATATCTTTCCTTGATTTCCCTTGGCTCAGCTGAGAAGCTCTACTGAAGTCCAGGAGAAAATAAAAGTGAAAAAACAGAGAACTAGCTGATATGAAGTCCACCCCCATATTACATCTCTGGCACTCCAGGGGAAAAAAATAATAATATCAAAGAGATTCTGGCTATTTAATACTTCAGTTCTTCCCCTTGTCACATCTTCCAGAATCCCACAGAACATCAACTGGCCAAGTTCTTCATGGTTTCAAGTCTTACACTCATGTCTTTAATCCATTTTTTATTCATTTTTGTGTATGGTATAAGCAAGGGGTACAGTTTTATTCTTTTAAATGTCACTGTCCAGTTTTCCCAACAATATTTATTGAAGAGACTTTCCTATCCCCATTGTATATTCTTGGCTCCTTTGTCATAGACCAATTGACCATATATGTGCTGGTTTATTTCTGGGCTCTCTATTCTGTTCCCTTGAGCTATTGTTTCTGTTTTTATGCCAGCACCATACTGTTTCGATTACTATAACTTTATAATATAATTTGAAATCAGGAAATGTGGTGCCTCCAGTTTTGTTCTTCTTTCTCAAGGTTATTTTGGCTATTTTGGGGTCTTTGGTGATTGAATACAAATTTTAGGATTGTTCTATTTCAATAGGATTGTTCAATTGCTTTGAATCTGTAGATTGCTGTGGGTAGTGTGGACATTTTAACAATATTAATTCTTCCAATCTGTAAACATGGATTATCTTTCCATTTATTTGTGTCTGCTTTAATTTTTTTTATTAATGTCTTATAGTTTTCAGTGTACAGGTCTTTCACTTCTTGGTCAAATTTATTCCTAGGTGTTTTATTGTTTTTGATATAATTGTAAATGAAATTATTTTCTTGATTTCTATGTCCAATCAGTTTTTATCATTTTTTTCTTTTTATTTCTTCCTTCTGATTCATCAGTAAAATAAACTCCATACAAACATCAACTCCTTTGCCCTTCTTTTCCTCTCTTGCTCTCACCTGACAAAAACTCAGCCCTGGATAAACCCAAAATATGTCTTATCCTTGCCTGTATCAATATAGCTCTGCAGCCCTAGCCAGTTTGGCTCAGTGGATAGATCCTGCAGATTGAGGGATCCCAGGTTCAATTCCAGCCAAGGGCACATGCCTTAGTTGCAGGCTCAATCCCCAGGCCCAGTTGGAGCTAGTGCAGGAGGTAACCTATCGATGTTTCTCTCTCTCTCTCTTCCCCTTCCACTCCCTCTGAAAAGCAATGGGAAAAATATCCTCAGGTGAGGATGAAAAAAAAAATTAAAATAAAATAAAAGAACAATAAACCACAATGTCTAGGTCCGTGTTACAATGGCCATAATTGTAAGAGTCCCTTGCTTTATTTTTTAAATATATTTTTATTGATTTCAAAGAGAGGAAGGGAGAGGGAGAGAGAAACATCAATGTGTGAAAGAAACATCGACCAGTTGCCTCCTGTACATGCCCCTACTGGGGCTCTAACCTGCAGTCTGGGTACGTGCCCTGACGGGAGTTGAACCTGTGACCCTTTGGTGGACAGGATGACCCTCCAACCAACTGAACCACATTGGCCAGGGTAAGAAGTATCCTCTTTTTAATTAGTCTCAGAAACACCTGAGTGAAGCTGTCATTGTACCTGTCACGGGTGTTAAGAATTTGAAGTTGAATTCTGACAGTGAGTTACTTGGGGAAAACTCTTTTAAGCCTTCAGA